TCTCTCTCTGAAAAAAAAAACAAAACAAAGTAATGGATCTCACCAGTGGCCAATTCTGGCTCCTTAATGGAAATAGGAGATCTACATTGAGCTGGGTGGGCTCTTAAGACTTTCTCCTTCTCCCTCTACGTCTTCTTCCTCTCCTTTTAAAAGCATTGCCTTCCGGACCCCTTGGCTCGTGAACTGTTGTGAACCTGATGGATAAACCTTCCAAGAGTGTTTATTTTTATGTTGGCCAGATGCCTGCAGGCTTTGGTGAACCTACAGTTGATATTATTAATGAATGATCTGTTTTCTTCTCTTCTTAAAAGATACAGAATATGAATGAGCGTTCCCCTTGCAGGATACATTTGGGGCAGACACTAGAGCCCAGGAGCAGTACTGTGAAGTTTGCATTGGGCTGACAGGAGGTGGGCCTGGATGTGGCTTTCTCCCTATGGCTTCCGGTTCCTTTTCTTTTCTTATCTTTTTTTGGCTTGAAACAACAGACATGTATTCTCTCCCAGTACTAGGAAATAGAAGTCAGAAATCAAGGTTTTGGCAGGACCATTCTCTCTACAAAGGCCCTAGGACAGAATTGGTTCGATGCCTGTCTCCCAGCTTCTGGTGGTTGCGGGCAATCTCCTTTGCTTTGCTTTTCCAAGGAAGAAAGACTCTCTGTTTCCCACTTTACTGAGGGTTGCTGAACTACTGGATACTGGGACCATAATTGGGGAGTGTGGTCAAGACCAGCAGGGCTGCTTTCTGATCCTACATCAAACTGAAGACTCCCTAATTGGTTTCTCCTCTCTTAAGGCAGTTTTACTCTAAAAAAGAAAAAAAAATGTTTTTCATAGAGAAGTAAAAAAATCCTGGGGCCCTTGTTTATAATTCTCCTGGCAATCAATTTGTTTCACATCAAGGTCTACTTTTACTTATAGACTTAGAATGGACCTCAAAATATTTCTTCAAGTTAAATTTTGAAGATCTCCCAGCATAATGGATATTTCATACAAACATCCCTTTCAAGCATTCTAGGCTCTAGATTCAAGTTGGTCTCAATGCCTTGTCAAAGTCAACCAGCATCTCTTAAGTGCCCTGGGAAAGTTAAGATCCTAAGACCCCTTTCTGAAGCAATGCCTGATTACTACTTGTTATTTTTAAAAATAAAGAGTTCTGTGTCTTTGAGCTTTTTAATTTTGTTTTCTTAAGACTT